AACATCAAATTGACTTGATTCCAGGGGCAACATTGCCCAATTGACCTGCATACAGGAGCAATCCTTAAGAAACTCAAGAGATTCAAAAACAAGTAGAAGGATTGTTAGAGAAAGGATGAGTGAAGGAAAGCCTGAGCCCTTGTGCTATACCAGTCATTTTGGTACCCAAGAAAGATGGAAGCTGGAGGATGTGTACTGATTATCGTGCCATCAATAATATTACTGTAAAGTATAGACACCCCATACCCCGTTTGGATAATTTACTTGATGAATTGTTTGGTGCTTGTTATTTTTCTAAGATTGATCTTAAGAGTGGATATCACCAAATAAGAATAAGGGAAGAGGATGAATGGAAAATAGCTTTTAAGACTAAATATGACTTGTATGAATGGTTGGTTATGCCATTTAGGTTGATTAATGCACCTAACACCTTTATGCGCTTAATGAATCATGTGCTTAGGAACTTCTTAGAAAAATTTGTTGTTGTTTACTTTGATGATATCTTAATTTACAGCAAATCTTTTGATGGGCATATGTTGCATTTGAGGTGTGTGTTGGAGGTTTTAAGACATGAACAATTGTATGCAAACTTTGAAAAATGCACATTTTGTAAAGATCATGTAATTTTTCTTGGCTTTGTTGTTAATTCTAAAGATGTGCATGTGGATGAGGAAAAGGTTAAAGCCATTAAAGATTGGCCAACCCCTAGGACTGTGAGTGAAGTGAGGAGCTTTCATGGGTTAGCAAACTTTTATAGGCGCTTTGTGAGAGATTTTAGTACCGTTGCCGCACCCTTAAATGAAGTTGTTAAGAAAAATGTGAGTTTTAAATGGGAAAGGGAGCAATAGGAAGCCTTTAATACTTTGAAGAATAAGCTTATGCATGCACCGATACTTGCACTCCCTAATTTTGCTAAATCTTTTGAATTGGAGTGTGATGCATCTAATGTTGGGATAGGGGCTGTTTTGACGCAAGAAGGACATCTTATTGCTTACTTTAGTGAAAAGCTTAATGGAGCATGCTTAAAGTATCCTACTTATGATAAAGAACTCTATGCTTTGATTAGGGCACTCCAAACATGGCAACATTATCTTTTATCTAAAGAATTTGTGATCCATAGTGACTATGAATAATTGAAATATCTTAAGGGTCAAGGAAAATTAAATAAAAGACATGCTAAGTGGGTAGAGTTCCTAGAACAATTCCCTTATGTTATTAAGCATAAGCAAGGTAAAATGAATGTAGTGGCTGATGCATTATCTAGGCGTTATGTGTTGCTTTCTATGCTTGATACAAAATTGCTTGGATTTGAACATGTAAAGGAACTATATGTGCATGATGCTGACTTTGCTGAATTATATGCATCTTGTGAAAAGGGAGCTCATGATGGGTTTTACAAGCATGATGGGTATTTGTTTAAGGAGAATTAATTGTGTGTGCCTAAATGCTCAATTCGTGACTTGCTTGTGAGAGAAACCTATGAGGTTGGCTTGATGGGACACTTTGGTGTACCTAAAACTTTAATGATATTGCAAGAACACTTCTTTTGGCCTAAAATGAAACATTATGTTTATAAATTTTGTGAAAGGTGTGTTGTGTGCAAGAGGGCTAAATCCAAGGTAAATCCTCATGGCCTTTATACTCCATTACCTGTTCCAAATTACCCTTGGATTGATGTTTCTATGGACTTCATTGTAGGTTTGCCAAGGACAAAGAATGACAAGGACTCCATATTTGTGGTTGTGAACCGATTTTCAAAGATGGCTCATTTTATTCCATGTAGGAAAGTAGATGATGCTACACATATTGCGGACCTATACTTCAAAGAGGTTGTAAGGTTGCATGGTTTGCCAAGGAGCATTGTTTCAGATAAAGATTCGAAGTTTCTAAGTCACTTCTGGAGGACCTTGTGGCAAAAACTTGGAACCAAACTTCTATTCTCTACCACATGTCACCCACAAACAGAGATGGTAAATCGTACCTTAACTACTATCCTTAGGACTATGGTAAAAAAAAATCTCAAATCATGGGATGAATGCTTGTCTCATATTGAATTTGCATATAATAAGACATTTCATTCAACTACCCTGCATTCACCCTTTGAGGTTGTTTATGAATTTAATCCTCTCACCCCGCTTGATTTGTTGCCACTTCCTAATGTTGCGTCTTTAGTACATAAGGATGGCAATGCCAAGGCTGAATTTGTTAAAAAATTGCATGAAAAGGTGAAGGCTCAAATTGAAAAGAAAGTGGAACAACAAGCAAAATATGCCAACAATGGAAGGAAGAGAGTGGTATTTAAACCCGGAGATTGGGTTTGGGTACACATGCATAAGGAGAGGTTTCTTATACAAAGAAATTCAAAGCTTCAGCCAAGAGGGGATGGACCATTCCAAGTCTTAGAGAGGATTGGGGATAATGCATACAAAGTGGACTTACCAAGTGAATATGGTGTTAGTGCTACTTTTAATGTATCTGATTTATCTCTCTTTGATGTAGATAATAAAGAGTCAAATTTGAGGGCAAATTCTCTTGAAGAAGAAGGGATTGATGAGAATCAAGGAAGACCCATTGAAGACAAAGATTTGAAGGCATTAGAAGAGCTTCAAGGACCAATGACAAGGGCAAGGGCAAAAAGAATAAATGGAGACTTAGAAAAGATTGTTGTTGTCTTATTTGAAAGTGAGCTCAATTTAGAGTTAGAAAAGCCCAAGATAATCAATTACATATGCTTAGAGGATTTAAACTCTAACAAGTTTTATTAGGATGTAATTATTATGTTTATTTTATTTATTTTAATATTAGTCATTACTTATTTTGAGTTATTATTTAGGATAAAATCTTGTTATTTTATTTAGTTTATTTGAATTTACGCTTGTTGGTACAAAAAGCCCATTAGAGTTTGCGTTAGTATTAGTTTACAAGCATTAGGCAAATATAAGTTCTTGTAAACACACTTTTAATTAGTTTTGAATACAATTTGAGATTGAATACTCTTGTGAGAGCGTGTGACTCTAGATTCTTAAGTGAGCCAATTTTCTTTGATCTTATCAAGAGGCTAAGACTCTTGTGGCAATCGTTCCTTAGCTTATCAATCTTGCGATTGTGGCGCCATTTTCCATTTCTATTCTTTTTTCACTTTTTATTAATTTTCTTCTATATTTCAATTCCTATTTGTACCCTAATAATTTCGTTTTTATTGTATGAAATCCAATTTAAGATCGTTTAATTCAACGACACGGTTTGTGGTTATCATCAAGTAATAATTTAGAAAAATGACTGTTAACATTGTAGACTATTGGGTGTTGATAAAAGTTGTATGAGTGATTAACAATCGTAAGAAAAAAATAAAATTAGAATTAGGTTAAAAATAAACAAAGAAGTATAAAAGTGAAACCATGCGCATTATGTTCCCTTTCCATTAGTTTAATCAGAAGTACATTGTTTTATTGCTTTAAATTACTTGTTACTTTGATTTATTTAGTTAATTTCATCACATATCCCTTAAGCTCACAATTGAATTAAAAAAATTTTGGTACTTGGGTACAACTCCCGTGGGGTAGTATTTAGAAAGCTTAATTTAGAAACTCTTTACTACTTTTTGATAAGTACACTTGTTTATAAACAATAATTTATTAATACCAAAGCTGATACATATAAAACCATGAACTTCATATGTAAAGTTTGGAAAGAACTTTAAAGATCTAAAATCACATTGAATGTTCTATTAATTCATAATATTTTGTGAAACCACATTAGTGCATAAATGTAAACCTTCTTAAAATCACTACCTAGATATATGATACATACAAAATTTACTTATGAAGCATGACTGATATAGTACTGGTCACGATCCTCATTTGGGATCAACAAGAGGATGATAAGTTCTATTATTTCATAATGAAATGTATAAAATCAGTGCGGCGAAATTAAAGTTTTATTTACCATTTCTCCTTCCTCCCATTCCCTTCTCTGAACAAACACCAATCACAAATTTAATTTTTAGTCATATAGAAGTTAAGTGTAGATATAATTAAGAACTTCTTTTTCCCATTTTTAGACATAAATTGTATGATTTAATTTATCTAACCATAATTTCAATAATAATAACAAAATTTAGGTGCATTTGTATAAACATTTTTGTACTGTTTTTCAATTAAGATTGACCTTTTTTTTTTGCTATTAAAGATTGACCTTTTATTTCGATAATAGTGTCAACTTTTAATGTTGACTTTCATTGCATAAATTACCAAAGTAGAACTCTTTGGAGAACAACAGTAAAAACATATGTAATACTAAGCCTAAATTTTACTTTCAAAAAAGTTGTAATTAACCTGCAAAATCTAGTGAAAAAAACTTATAATCTTTTAGATCACCAATAAAATGAAATTATGTTTGTTGGGTATTTATTGAACTTATTGTGTGCAGTGGCGTGGTTTAAATTTATATCAAGAACGCATGTTAAATCCCACAAACAAGTGGATTGTGTGTAAAAAACAATTGCAAAATATGGGAGAATTTTCAGGTCATAATTCTTAAAAGCAATAATAAAGTGTTATAACATTATTACCTATAGTGAATGAAAACTCTTGTTTCTTAAGAAAGTAAACAATAATGATTTTTTAATTTGTTAAAATTGTATATAGAAATTATATAAAATAAATTTTTATAAAAAATTTATATAATTCAATGCAATTTAATGCATTAATGCTATTAGATACTACAGGCTTTAATAAAATTTTATTATACGTAATCTTGCATATGTTAGGAAAATTAAACAACAATTTAGCTTTCTTGGCATATTTTTTAGACAAATGTGAACAATGCCTTTAAGGCACTAATTAAGGGATCAAAACTCAAAATTTTTATCAAAATAATATAATAAATACACCTCTTTCTATGATTTCAACCGTGGTCTAATGTAATTTTCAATAAAAATTTACCATTTTCAATTTGTTAGGGCACTAGTTATCAAGACCCTATTTTTATGAGATATATGAAAAGCTCCAAATGAGAGTGGCATTTATTCATATAGAGGATGCTCCAATTACAAAGCTCTTGCCTTTGACAACAATTCTTATATGTATGCAAAGTTCAATAATGCTCCAACCTCAAGGCCATATCTATATATGATATATATAATACTTAAAAAGGAGGGATTTTGAAGAACAAAAAGACAATGCCAAAAAGTATTGGAGGAGGAAAGAGGGCAAGAGAGTCTTAGCCCATGGCATACTTCTGGGTCCAGCTTCTAGCAGTTGACTCATACTTGAATTTGTCGGTCTTCCACATATGAGCAATTTCAGGCACCAAAGGGTCATCAGGGTTTGGATCCGTTAGCAGAGAACATATAGAGAGTAGCACCTGCATCATGATATTTTTACAAACATTCAGCATTTATACAAAACAGAAAGAAGCCAATAATGTCATTAATGAGGAAAGGTCCACAACATCGTGACCTTGGATATGGTGAGAGCAGGACTCCATTGTTCTTTGAGTATGTCCAGGCAAATATTGCCATTGCTATTAATGTTGGGATGGAAGACCTTGGTCCTGAATGCAACCTGTACAATAGTTTTTAATCATAGCTATTAATTATTTTCAGCGCTTATACAGTAAAATTAGCAATTACAAAAAGCTAAATTTGAAGACAAACATGATTTTGATAGGTGATGATGATACATGAGTTATATAGCTCTAGAAAAACAGATGTTCCACCTTCAAATATAGCAAAATTAAGAAAATGGGTGTCAGAATTTTTGGTGTATACCTTGGGAGGCTTGAAGGGATAATCAGGAGGGAAATGGATGGTCACAAGAAAAACACCACCAGCATAGGGACTGTCATTTGGACCAATGATGGTTGCTTGCCAATGGAACATGTCCTCACCCACAGGGCCTGAAATCCAAGCATGTCACACTACACTGCAGCATGGTTACAGTTAATGTCAAATAACCCAATTCTACTTTCACTCAACCTCTTTACCTGCACTGCATGAAGTTGGTGGGTCTCTCTGCAAGTCCTTGAGCTCCTTCAGTATTCTTTTGGATGCCATTCACGTGATTCCAGGATCTAGAAGGGGAAATCAGGATGGATTGGAAAGCCTAAAACGATTAGAACACTACAAGAAACAAGGCAGGTTGCAGGCTTATTTAATGGAGCATATAGGCGGTGTTAGAGAAGAGATATTGGACAGAATCAAGAGTTCCATTTGCCAATGGAAGTGGGTACAGTATATATTCCTCATGAAAAGGAAGATAAGATTTTAAGAATCAACCAACTTTTAGATGTGGAAGGAATTCGATATTACTTAGCCGCCCAAAATTGAGATATATACTCCTTCATTAGGATATTATATCAGCATTAAACGTTGAATCTAGAAATAATTAATTATAGTTTGTTTTACTATTTGCAATTAAAGCAAGTCCAACAGCTCTTGACTTTTAATCCTTTATCTTTCGTCCTTTTTGCCTTCACTCTTCAGGTACGACTACCCTTGTGAAATGCATCGATGCCCAAACAAAGATACCAAATTATTGGACAGCTTATAGCAGCCAATCCACATTCAAAAAGAAGAAACGAGATCCACCCGTTGAGTATCTGATAAAGCTGTGAGAAATGAAAGACGAATTTGATTTTGTTCTGTGAATTCTTGAAAATAATGTACATTTCCGAGCAGACACAAAATTGGTGACAGCTCCATGGTATTCTATTTAAAATTTTGTTTTACTCGTCCCATACTGCAATTGTCATAAGATTTTATGTAAAGTTAACAAAGTCAACCTAACTTTGGATTTCGGGTTAGAAACTTCAAACACTATAATCGCTTGATAAATAAAAGCATATGGAAGGATGAAACTTTAATCAAACCAACTATATCAAAGCTGTTAAGTAGCTAACATAATTACATATACTTAGTTCACATCCAAAGCCACATGGGCAAACACTTCCTAGATTAGATTACAACATGAATAGAACCCTGTCCATAGATGGAAATGATCATTTAATAATCAAAACAGCAGGTAAACAGCCCAGACAAACGCAAGTGTTGTGTGCACACCAAACATAATGAAATTATGACTTTACAGATCCTACAGCCAGAGACAATTAGACAAATAGCTTGATGCTTCTGAGTGAACTTCGAGGTGGTCAGCTGGACATGGTGATTCCGTTGTCTAGGTTGGAAATAGTATAAGATATAGAATTGCAAAGACTACTATGAAATGGCTACAGTCATGTCATCCTCCATGAACTACAACACGAAGAACTGAAGATCACAAAATGGAACAGGCCTTTTGCCCCTTTCTCTTCTTTTTCTTCTGCTTTGGGGGCTGGAGAACTACTTTGATAGCCGCATCAAAAACAGCCTTCACATTCTGTATTCAAAGGCTAATGTCAATAAGGTCATAGCTTTCTTTAATGTCCAGAACTTTTAAAGATTTGAAGAAATTATATGCACCTGCTGTGTTTTTGAACTACATTCAATGTAAACTGGAGCACCAATAATTTTTCTCAGTTCCTCACCCTTCAGGAAAAGACAATAAATCAGATCATTAGCCTATAAAGTAAGCTGATGCCCATATTATGAACCATGAATATTGGCCAAAAGACAATATAGTGAATTCTCAAACAAAGCAATAGAAATTAATTGTGTATATAGAGGAAGCACTAGCAAATAGCAAGTACCTGAGCTGTGGTGATAGGCACTGCACCAGGATGGTCTTGAAAGAACTGCTTATCATCCCGAAGATCTACATTGGTTGTCATGAAAATGACCAAATAAACTATTCATTATAACCTTATTGAGCCTATACATAGACCATCAAATGCGTACAATTAAATTAAGCCTATACATAGATGGGAACATATTCCAAAAGCAACCATGTGAAAATTATTAAAAGGAACATTTTCAGAACAGAAGTTCTACTTTTGTCATAGGTTACAAGTAATAGAAATTCTGATCAGTCATCAAGCCAATGATTTGAGAACTTGCACTCTTCTTTCATCTTAAACTTCCTAATACACTTCGTAAGTACAGATTACTCAAGTTTTATTAGTAACTGCTCATGCAGCATTGAGAACAGCCACTACGTGTGCCTTCTAGTTTTATAGGTGCCAGGTGGTAAACATTGAACAAAGATGAAAAATTACCAATGCTTTTTCCACATATTCGATGAAAACTTATCCATGGAATACTTTATTAAATCTGAACCATTTATTGGTTAAAGTCATGACTGGGGTAAAGCTTGGAAGTTAGGAAGGAACTTGATTCTCTCAATCTCTATTAAATCACAAGCCATCAAGGGAAAGATCTAACTGCTGTGGCTTCAGATTCTAGAACTTAGGTGAAGACAACTAGTTAGTGGTTGGGTTTAAAATATAACTTCCCAGTTGTCCCACTTTAAGACAATGAGGGATACACAGCATGAGTTTATGATGGTAATCAGTATCATCATTAAACAAAGAAACTTCACAATATCAGGGAACTTATATTATACTGAGTGTTATTCTACCACATAAGGAGCACATTAACAGCGTAAACATAGTTAGAGAAGGTAATGAAGGAACAAGAATCTAACCAAGTTTTGTTCCAACAAGAATAATTGGAACACCAGGAGCATAATGCCTCAACTCAGGAATCCACTGAAAAAAGGGGGGCAAAATTAGTCCAGAGTAGAGAGGCACAAAACAAAAAAGAAAAATAAAAATATCAAGCTTACTTTCTTGGCAACATTTTCATAGCTGGCCCTGCTTATGAGAGAGAAAGCAAGCAGGAATACATCTGCTCCACGATAGCTCAAGGGTCTTAATCTATTGTAATCTTCTTGACCTGTTCCATAAGTTGAAAACATCAAAACAATGACAAGACACTCCTAAAATACAAGAAGAATGAAAGAAAAACCAGGAAACTAAACTTACCAGCAGTATCCCACAACCCCAGATTCACAGTGCTCCCATCCACAACCACATTTGCACTGAAGTTGTCAAAGACAGTAGGCACATAGTCCTGTTGCCAATGGATCACAAAGAAACACAGGATGTCACAATTACTAAATACCAAAGTCCTCCTCATTTCTCATTCAACGGTAAGTCAAACAGCAAAATGGAATTTGTTTTGAAGAATATTGCATCAATCCCAAAAACAAGAAGTATTTCAGCAAAGCATCACATAGGAATTATTGAAATCAACATCGAAGATTCAATCAAAATATTATCTTTTTTCTCTTTTCACCCAACAAATTACACAGAGACCCAATTTAACAGTCGCCTCTAAGAAGGGTATATGAAATTGAAGGAAAAGACCTCATTTTTTTACTCTTTTGAAGAAAGCTTAACATCAGCAGAGACAACAAAACCAAGACACACTAGGAACAAGGAAAAATAAAAGAATCGTGAAAATCACAAACAAACCCACTTCTGATTTGGAAGAACAACCATCTCAGATGCATCGACACATATTTTCCCCTTACCTGAATATCCAGTAACTTACAACCTAAATCACACACAAAATGTGAACCTTTCTTTGGGCAAAAGACAAAATTCTCAGAAAAGAAACAGAAGCACTCACCGTAGGGAAAGTGTTGCTGGTGTAGGAGATTAGCATACAAGTCTTGCCCACAGCCCCATCACCTACAGTGACACACTTTATGAACCTTGAGGCACTCATTGCCGTTCACTTCAACTTTGTGGTGTTTCTTGGAGGATAAACCCTAATGATTCATGTGCAAATGGTACTGTAATTCGTTAAAGTTGGGAGCTTGGTGCATGTTCAACAAGAAACAGGAGAGAGAGGAGACGGAAGGAAAAAGCGTGTTGAGTGTGTTAGAGAAAGGGGAAAGAAATTGAATATGGCTGGGCCTGCATGTTGTATTTGCCAGCTATTCTTTTTTATGCCACAATTTCAGCTCATTTTTTCTACCAAATTTTAACACCTCTGTATAATATACCCCACCAACTCCTCTCACTCTCAGTTTCACCCTCTTACCCTTTTTATAATGCATCTATTTATATACATATTATAAAGACTTCATTTTGCCAATGAACCATGATTAGAGGACACCCACTATTGGATGTGTTATTGTGATGCATTTATTGTCATCCATGTTTCAATTCTATTTCCAATCCTTTCTTTAAGCTTGTTTTTGTTTAGAAAATTAGTTAAAATTTAATTATTTGTATTTCAAAGTTTATTACTTATAGGTAGTTAATTAAATTAAAATTATTTGATAAAATTAACTATATAATAAATTGAAATATTAAATGATTATAAAACAAAAATCATGATTATTTTGTACGAATATAAATTATTTAAAATGTTAAAAATAAAAATATTGGTAAACAGTTTTCATAAATTAAATATTAAAATAAATTTTTGTAAATTATTTTTAAATTTTTTATTTATCAAATAATTTTACTAATTGGTTGATTGAAAAATAAATTATAAATTTATGTTACCAAATACATTCTTATAAGATAATGTTGACAGGGTACATTGAACTTTTATCATTAGGCTAATTTTATAAAAATAACTACTAAGTGTGAGACACTAGCTAAGAATCTCTCGTTAGAAGAGGAAAAAAAACTGCTGCTACATAAAAGAACAAAATACCTAGGAGTAGCATGTGAAATATGTATAAAATGTTCGTCGTTTACTGTGAAACAGAGAAAAGAAAAACTTATTTCTGATTAGTTGTTTTTCTCTCTTCTCTTTTTCCAAAAATCTCAAGTATCAATCAAAGATGAATATCACTACGCTCGTAACATTTAAACGGAAAAATGAAGAGAAAATTACATTAACTGTGCATTTTAATTTTCCCATTAAAAAAAACTTTAGTTTATCAGAAAATAATTAATTAATGCATTTTTCTTCATATGTTTAAAAATTCGTATCAATAAAAGACCACACACAATAATGTGAGTCTTTTGCTACATGCTGGACTACGAAAAAGAACCATTCATGCACCATGCAATTAAAATCGAATGCATTGTCAATGTTTACAAACATGAAAGGACTGCAACTTCTTTACTATCACATTGCCAGTAATAGTAAAGTTCAGCATTAATTGAATGATTAATTTATGGCAAGTTAAAAAGAATCACAGTATAAATAAATAAAAAATAAAAAAATGGTGAGATATATAAACTCTTAAGAGAGTGTTTTATAACATTTATAGATTAACGATTATGATTCTTTTTATATATAAGAAGATATCAACATTTTTTAATTTAAATTATTATATCTATTATACATTTAAGAAAAAGTAATGAAGAATTCTGACAAAGAAAAAACAAACAGTATCCATCTTTTAATTGGTTTAAATGTGCAGCTTATTATTTTTGTTTCTTCCTCACAAATCCCCTGTTTGAAGAAAATAATGCCAAGTCAAATCAACGCATGTTGCCGTCCACTACATGGAAGAGCATTAGCAACTGCTACCATAAATATCGTAGTGATAAAAAAATTAATGATGTCACAATATTATCATCACATACTTTAAAAATCCAGGTAATCCGAGAATATAACTATTATATTTCTTATAAAGTTTAGACAATCTTTTCTTTTAAATTAGTATTTAAGAGTTAATCATACCTAAATTTTCAATAGTTGTAAATTAGTGACCATAATTTTCACTTCCACCTGTGTTATGCCTTCAACGTTGCATATTTACGTTGTAAGACACATGCTGATATAAGAAAGGTTGTGATTCCGAGCCTCAAATTTAGAGCATAGAAAACTTGAGATTATGCGTGAAATGGAGGAAGATGATAGAGATGGGTAACGCCTCTTCCATTAAACCCACATGGAAGATAGAGACAATAGAGAGAGAATGATGTGAAAGAAAGCAATAACTCTGATCACAATTCAAAACTGCGAAGAGAATGGACCATGCTTTAATTTTCCTTCAGTAGGAAGCGATATTCCATGGTTGGATATGGACGGCGTCCATGCCTCTTAAAGCGCCATTCATTTTATGTGTAATTAAACCGAAGAAGCTACTTGTGACAATCAATGATGCATTATCACACCAACTTATTTCCTAGCATTAGTCTTTCTTGATCCATCACACTCGACAGACATGCTTAAATTTCAATTAGATCCACGTCTGAACTCTCTCTTATTCACCTAACATTAAGTATTTCTTTGGTTTTTTAATATATTCACTTAAGCGTATGAGATAGATTATAAAATGTATTTAATGTTTTCTAACACATGATTTTTTAACAGAAAGAGGAGGAGGACAAGAATTTCATTTAAGGTTACTGAACAAAGAAACAATATTAGCATATATACTCTTTATTATTTTTCTTATTATTAATTAAAATTATCAAAAATTATAAATATGACTTATTCAAACTTATATAACTTTGTGGTTTTTAATAAATTTACCTAATAATGAAAAATATTAAAACATCTGTTTTGAATATTTGTGTTGTTGAGTATGATGGCAAAAAAGGTGTTGAGTGGGTAGTGGTACCCCCCACCTAAAATGAGATTAGTTGGAGGATCTCAAATCAACAAATACGACGTCTTACGGAACTGCTGGATCGTGTGGATTGGTAGTTTAAGGTCCATCTGCCACTGATTAAGCAAAAGGGATTATCATCACACTTCAAAGATTAAGATTAATCACAACTAACAAGTGAATGAAGCGACAACATGATGATGATTCATAAAAATTGCGTAAATAAAGTCAACGGATTATGTACATATATATAACAGATGGCATGTATCCATTGGAATTTTTAGATTGATTTTACCTAAAAATAGTAATTTATCACAATCTAATCTATACCTAAGCCTGTATGTGAATCAACCTCCACGAGCTGATTTTAAGCAACTACCGAGATAGGTCAAATTCATATTTTGGTTCATATTTCAAAGTAGGGTTATGTGTACAAATCTCAAGGAACTTGTTGCATCTCTACGAAACTTCCTTAGTGATAGGTAATCTCTTAGCACCCATGAATAAAATGCAACCTAAAAACATGTACAGAGTACAGACATAAACACTTAGCCTAATAAGATAGTGGCCCCCCAAAAAAAGAAGAAGAAGGGTGCAATGAGAAGATTATAACAAAAAGGACAATTAATTATTGGTCTCATTTTTTTCTTCTATGTAGTTCTTTTGATACCTAACAAATCTTTCGATAAGAACCGTCAGAAAATAATAACAACAACATCAAATCTTAGGATAGGGAAAATAGGACATTAAATTCTTTATAAACGCGCAACATCAAGAAGTTTAAAATTTAAAGTAATGATACTCTCAAACCTTTTCGTTACACGTCTCACATTCTTTATTAGGCAAAAGGAAAACTACATAAAAAAGAGAAAGAAATTAGAAAAGGAATTGTCTTTATCTTTAAACCCCTGGATTATGAATTGACTCCACATAAACTTCAGAAATGGCTGGTAATATCTTGACCTTTCAAGCAATAGTACTTACTCACCTTAAACTCACTCACTGTGAGGCAATAGTTATCCACAATAATATCAAGCATATATCAGTGCAAAAGGAATTATGGAGTTTCAGAATTTAACTTCTTTAAAATCAAATGTAAAAATAAAAAATACATATTTTATCTATTATTAATTACTATTCAAATATTTTATAAATATCGTTAACTTTAAATTAATAACAAATAGACTCTTATTTTTTATTTTACATTTTTTTTCATTTTCTAACTTATAGTGTGAGGTCCAAAGCTTTGTATCTCTAAAAATATCAGTACTTTACTGTTGATCACCAAATTAGTGGTCCATGTGCAGAGAAAAAGGCCCACCTACCTTCTACCCTTCAGATTCCACCATATTTTGGCAGTTTATCTTCAATTCCTACCAAACACCAGTAAAACAAACCTTGAGGAAACGCATTTCTTTAATGCCGTTCCATTAAAAAAAAAAAAAAACATATATTTTAGGGTTAGCAGTAGATTTAGGCGACTTATTGTTGGCATATGGAAAAATAAGCACATCTGCAATGTTACAATTTAACGGTTTTGGTATTTTTTATTTATTTTTAAAATTAATTTTAAAGGTGAAAATTTAATATTTTTTTATTTAAAAAATTATATTTATTATATTTATAATATAATAAATTTTTAATAAAAATTAAAATTTTTAATTGTTTAAAATTATGTCTAAAAATTGAGGTTAACATTGTTTATAATTCAACTTTGTGTCAAATCCATTTTGTTTTATTAAATAAATTTAAAAATAAATGTTAATAAATACTTTTAGGACACTGATTAAAGAAAAATAATAAATATTATTAGAAAATATTATTAACATCTCTATGGGTGTATTTTTAATGTATTTTAATATAATTTGTAATAGAAATTTACTTTATGCTAGCAAAAATTAAATAATAATAATAATAATAATAATAAAAAAAGATAAAATTTAGATAGTATTTTTTAAAAATAATTTATTTATTAAAATTAAAATTTCACTTCAGTAAAAATATTAGTATTTAATGTTGTTACAAATTATTGAAGTGAAATTCTAATTTTAATCAAAAAATAATACTAAAAGTACTTACAAAGTTACGCTTAAATTTTATCTCATACAATAAAACAAATGTTACATTAACTCTCGAAAAATATTAATTAAAAATATATCAGAAATTTTAATACACATTCATGTAATATATAATAATTCCTAGTATAATTAAAAAAAAAATTATTGTTAGATTTCTCAATAGGAAGAACCAATAATTTTTTTTCTTTCAGAACAATCACGCTATTTTAGGAGACCTACTTGAATTTTACTTAATAATAAAAAATAGTACAAAAAAGCATATTTTTAATATATACTAGTTAAAAAAATCCTAGAGTCACACGAAAATGGGATCTTAAAATTTAGTTGCCTAATGCCTATGATTAAAGCTTATATGAGCTGTGTGTCATGTGTTAAATATATAAAATGCATTTGTTTTTCCTTGATTTAGAGGAGAAAATTATGAAAGTTATGATGTGTTAGTAAAATAAATGATTTATAAATGATGTGTGTCTTTTAAAAAAAAAACGTTTAAATGAATTAATAAAATTACCTATTATAATATGTTTTAAAAATTTAAAATTTAATTTTTAATAAATATTGTAAAAAAATTATTTCAATCTTTTAGATATTTAAAATATATCATTCTTTAATATAATTCTTTCTAAGATAATTATTATTTAAGAAAGAACATAATTATTCATTTACAAGAAACTATTTCATATTTTATTAAACCCAGTTTCATTTTTGTTTTTGAAGCAAGTTCAAGAATTTGTTGAGTTTTCAATATAAAGTTCAACGATTAATTGAGAGATTGCAGATGAAATTTATTTGATAAAAGTATGAAAAAAGATATCCAAGGTGAGAAATCTAATAGAATCATGTAATTCTTTCTTTAAATATTGTTATATAAACATTATTCAATTTCTTCTTCTCCTATCTTAATTTCTCCTTATTTTTTCTTCTTTAATAGTTTGCAAACTCGTTTTCCAAATCTACCTTTAACCTATATAATCATTATCCTTTTAGATTGTTATACTTTCAACTATGATTTTTGTAAATTTAAAAATATTATATACTCATTTCAATTATCTTAAAAATTAATACTTTTGTTTGATTAGAATAAAAATAATGACTAAAGATATTATGTTGAACCAAGAAAAGCACAGCAAATTCATTCGTTGTAATTTTTGCTTAAGTCACTATTATTCGCTTAAGCAAAATTTAGACGATGATGAATTAACAACTTTCATCAAAATACCTATACACTTAAACGAATCGAAGATAGAGATGAATCTAAAATTTTTGTCTAAATTTGCTTAAGTCAACACCCCCTATTAGCTTAACCTAATATTCGTCACTTAAGCTAATGTTGTACTATATTGCACGACTTAAGCGGTTTATGTACTACTTAAGCGAATTATTTCTAGTGAGTTTTTTTTTTTATAATTTTTGCTTAAATTAGAAGAATTAACTTAAGCGAATGTTACAAAAATTGTGCAATGTAAAAGCGACCATTGTGCAAGAAAGACATGAGAAAGATTTAAAAGGACATTAATTAATGTATCAATATAAAACCTCATTTTCATGATGAATTGACTATGAGAATGGATGTGAAAGTTTTAATTTTAAAAATCATTAACTTCATAAATAAAGTTCGTAGAAAACTCTAAAGATCTAAAATAACATTCAGTATTCTATTGATTAAAAAGATATTTTTTATTATAAATTCAAAATGTATTTGAATGCATATCTTCTTAAAATGAGGTTTGGAGATTCAAGATACACAAAGGTACGGAGAAAAAAAAAAAGGAGTTTGGAAGATAAAAAAACATGTTTTGAAGATACAAAATAATAGATTTTGAAAGTTCAAAAAGAAATTTTATAAATTTTTACAGAAGATTAAATTATAAATATATATAAACTTATTTTATTAAGTTATAGATCAAGGATTTGAACTGTTTATAAATTTTAAAATACATCTAATAATTTAAAAATAATCATTCACTCATAAGTCATTTACTTTAATAACTTATATTAGCCTGAATAAAAAAATATTAAATAAGTTATATCCCTAATTTTTTGCAATTATTCACTAATTTAATTTCAAAAAGTTATGTGCATTTCAGAAAATATTCATCATTTTCGTTATCCGTCTTTATAAAAAAATTAAAAATGATACATTGTTTTTTCTTTTAAATTTGTACAAAATATTTTCATACAAATATTAAAAAGAATACAAAAAGAAAGGTGATACTTTTAGAAATATGTATAAAAATAAAAGAGTTTTCAAATTAAACAATCAATCATAAATTTTATTTTTTATGTTACTTTATTATTTGTTGTCGATATTGAATGTATTATAGACCTAGGACAAAGATTTTTCATTAGGTTTTAGACAGCCTGAAAGGAAAATAGATTGTTGAGAGGACCATGAACACGTACAAACCGAAGAGAGAAAGATTCAAATTATAGTTGACAGTTAAAGTGGAGAAGAAAGATTCAGATTAAGATGATCCTTAAATTATGTCCCAAGAATATATATGTCCCAAAATTAATGACCAAAAAAAGAAAGTAGCTAAATTAAGGAGGAGAAAACAACATATGTATGCGACAACACCTAGGCTTGGGACATAGTTCAACCACGACCAATGATTTCTAACAGAAAATCAAAACGGGAAACCGAGCTTTGCTCGAAGACCTTACACGCTTCCTTTTTATTACCTTTCCCTACGTTAGTGTCGCTTATGGAATTGCAGAAACATTTTATGAACAACTCTTGCTTCTAAGGAGGACCCTACTCCACTCTCACTTCAACCCCCATTTTTTACCTCTTTTTCTCCATTCAGTCTCCTTCTGCACATGCTATCTCAACATGTTAGGTCTCAAAGTTCTTTTGATTACCTTGCTTTCTATCACTGTTTCGTTGGACATTGTTGCTGTCGCCGATGAAACCAAACAGGCAGTGACTTATGATGGCAGATCAATCATTATCAATGGGAAAAGGGAATTTCTCTTCTCGGGTTCCATTCATTACCCACGAAGCACCCCTGAGGTACCTTCTCCATCAAGTAACATTATGTCTATCATACTCTGTAATATACTAGGACAATGTTAATTAATATTTTTAAGAACATTAGTTAAATAATAAAAATAAGTTGTATTAAAAAATGTTAACATTTAATGCATGTTACTAATGCATTGATATCATGCTTTTTTATTCAATGTACTTGCTACACCTGTTAACGGGACTCATAATTATATATATATATATATATACACACAACCAGTTAATGGTTTTGTTGTGTGTGTGTTTCAGATGTGGCCAGGGATTCTTGACGAAGCAAAACATGGAGGTTTAAATGTGATCCAAACTTACGTGTTTTGGAACATTCATGAGCCTGAGAAAGGCAAGGTAAATTAATTGTGGAACCGAACCTAGTGCATGCGAACTCTGAATGGTTAAAAAATGTCCTTTATCTGTGACTAATTGGTGATTTGTTTCCATTTTGAAGTTTATAATGGAAGGGCGGTATGATCTGGTAAAGTTCATCAAGCTCGTTCAAGAAAAAGGAATGTATGTAACCCTCAGGGTTGGGCCTTTCATCCAAGCTGAATGGAATCACGGGTATGTCGTTTAATTAATTGATTTCTTAAATGTATGTATTCAAATACATTGAAAGAAAAACATATAACAAATTCTGCATAATTAGACGTTGCATCAATATTTTTCAACCCAAATTAGATTCTAGTATTGTGCATCTCACTTTACCTCTGACATGATAATCTGTTTCTTCCTCCAATGTAAATGTATCAGAGGATTGCCATTTTGGTTAAGAGAGGTCCCTGGCATTATATTCCGCTCTAACAATGAACCCTTTAAGGTAATCAACGCTACTTTCTGGTAGGAAAGATTATAATATTTAAGGTTGTTAAAATTATTTCATATTTGCAGACGCATATGAAAGAATACGTATCAACTATTATAGGAAAGATGAAAGAAGAGAAGCTCTTTGCTCCCCAAGGAGGCCCCATCATCTTAGCACAGGTTTTCATTTTCCACATGATGATTTTCCTGAGTCTATTTAATTTCTTCACACACACTGCTCAATACTTAAAAAAAGAACTGGCCTAGACCAGAGATGAGGCACAGACAGGACTCAAAATAACTTTAAAGAAAATTATTAAAACGGATTTAGAGATAAATAATATATCAGAAAATTTGATTTTAACGGAAATTAATCGCTTCGTGTGATTCATGCACTAAATTTCACCCACTAAGATAAGGTCTTAATATTATAATAAGCCAACGGCTCACAGTTGTTTATTTACATACTATAGATAGAGAATGAGTACAACCATATCCAACTTGCTTATGAAGAGGACGGAATTAGTTATGTCCAATGGGCTGCAAAAATGGCAGTGGCACTGGATGCTGGAGTTCCATGGCTCATGTGCAAGCAGAAGGATGCTCCTGATCCAGTGGTAAGTTCATGAAATTGTTTAAATATAATTATCCTTCCAGTGACATATTGCGTGTCATCTCTGACCTGACCATGCATGGCAGATTAATGCATGCAATGGAAGGCACTGCGGTGATACCTTCACAGGCCCAAACAAACCTTACAAGCCTGCCATATGGACTGAAAACTGGACTGCTCAGTAAGTATACTCGTTAGTGATCAATGTATTAGACTCTTTTGGTGTAAACGATAAGAGAATACAATAAGATAATTTTTTCATATCCTGTCGTATGTTTAGTGTTTGTATAAGTAATAAAATATAATAATAAGTTTATCCTACAAGCTTATATTATCATAATTTTCTAATATAAATTTTATTTTATGAAAAGAGCTAAATTAAAAATGGACACGATAAAATAACATAATATGTCTAAGTTATTATTTCAGTATGCTTTGAATATAAAATAAAATTATAGCTAATCCTTATCTTGCTTTCTATTTTTTATTCTTATTTAGCTCTTATATCTTATTATTTCTTATCATATTTGTCCACTGATTAGGTCCTCTTTAATCACAAGTCAAAATAAAAGAACACTTGATCATGTATACCCTAAATTAAAAAAAAAAAGTTGCTTATTTTGTAAGCTTTATACGTTCAATAATTTTTTCCAAACAATCTCTAAGACACTGTTTCTGATCTTGTTTTGGTTTACGCCATTTGTTGGTACTTTGGAACTACAGGTACAGGGTGTTTGGAGATCCACCATCCCAAAGATCTGCAGAAGACATTGCCTTCTCAGTTGCCCGCTTCTTTTCTAAGAATGGGTCTTTGGTCAACTACTACATGGTAAAGACCTAATCATCCTAACTTCCTTTTCATGAAACTGTTTCTTTCTCAACTTAACCCTGAAACTCCTTTAGTATCATGGTGGGACAAACTTTGGTAGAACAACCGGTGCCTTTACAACAACCAGATATTACGATGAAGCTCCTCTTGATGAGTTTGGTCTACGTAGAGAACCAAAATATGGTCACTTAAAGGACGTGCACAGGGCTTTGAACCTATGCAAGAAGGCCATGTTCTCGAGTCAGTCTAAAGTCAATAAAATTAGCCAATATCATGAGGTAAGCATCTGACACAGCCTTCTCAAAATTCACATTCCCAGAAGAGAAAGTAACGTGTGTCAGTGTCATAGTCAGAATCAGTTCAAGCTAAGCTTCATGCTTAAACTATGCAGATTATAGTTTTTGAGAGGCCAGGAAGTAATACATGTGCTGCTTTCATCACTAACAACCACACCCAAACTCCAGCAACTATAAACTTCAGAGGTTCGGAGTATTATTTGCCACCACGCTCCATCAGCATCCTCCCTGATTGCAAGAATGTGGTCTTCAACACTCAAAATGTAACTTGTTTATCCCTTACTTTACTAGTACAGAATTCATATGCCTGTCTTTGTTGCTAACCATTTTGCATTGCCTCCTCAAATCAGATTGTTTCACAACATAATATAAGAAACTACAAGAAGTCAAAGACAGCAAACAATCATAAGTGGGAGGTTTTTAATGAGCCCGTTCCAACTACCAAGCAAACCAAATTCGATTCAAAAGTTAAAGTTCCTGCAGAGCTTTATAGCTTGCTTAAAGACACCACAGACTATGGATGGTACACCACAAGGTGAGTTCATGTTCTTGGTAGGTTGCATAGATACGAATACGAGTATTGAGATACCATGTGATACACAAATACAGCAATTTTTCAAAAATATTAAGAAACGGGTATGAAAATATATTATACTTATATTTATGTTTGTATATTGAATATTTTATAATAATATTGATCAAATTTTAGTCAAATAACAATTTTGTTAAAATAACTCTAAAAGTAAGGAAGTATTTTAATAAATTCTATAAAATATAAAAATAATCACCAATAATTAAATAGCAGTAGATACGCCTAAAACACAAATCCGAGTGTATTGTAGGCATAGTTCTTTCAGTTTTGTCTTGTCACGTGCATGCATTGATTTCACCATGATATTTCATTCTCTCGTTCTCTTTATTCCCCAGCATAGGGTATTTTATGCAACTCTTGTCTAAGATTTTGTATATATATATTTACTGCAGCGTGGAATTGGGTCCAGAAGACTTGTCAAGGAAGACTGATGTATCCCCCGTTCTTCGTATAATGAGTCTTGGTCACTCATTGCTTGCTTTTGTAAATGGAGAATTCGTTGGTAAGCACACAGAAATTTGATTAATGATTAGCCTTCCAAGAGGAACTGGATCAAATCCAATGTATTTGGATTGATTCATGTTCCTGCATGGCAAAGTGATATATTCTATTTTCTCTGAGGTGTGTGTTGATATTTGGGTAACTTTTCTCGATCGTTTTAAGGGTCCAATCATGGTAGCCATGAGGAGAAATCTTTTGAATTCCAGAAACCTGTAAAATTCAAGGTTGGAACTAACCAGATAGCTATCTTAGCTTCCACAATGGGACTCCCCGTAAGAGGCTCAACCTTTTTTCTCTTCCAAATTTGCATGCATCACTTCTTTGTTCAATGGAGAACAATGACATTCTTGTATCCCTTTCAATTTACAGGACAGTGGAGCATACATGGAGCATAGGTTTGCTGGACCCAAGTCTATAACCATCCTTGGTCTTAACTCGGGAAAAATTGATCTCACTAGTAATGGATGGGGTGTACAGGTATTGAGAAAATATAGTAATAGAAACATGAAAGATAGTAAAACTGAATTGGTGCCAATTTGCAGGTTGGTCTCCAAGGCGAGAAGCAAAGCATTTTCACTGAGGAAGGTGCAAAGAAAGTGGAATGGAAGGAGGTGAAGGGATCTGGAACAACTCTCTCCTGGTACAAGGTATTTAAATTATGGCTAGTTGTTTTATTTATAAGGAGATTCAATCAAACATCTTTAAATTCTTTTATGATTGTTGTGTATTTATTTCACAGACAAAATTTGAAACCCCAGAGGGAAGGGATCCTGTTGCCATCAGGATGACTGGTATGGGGAAGGGAATGATTTGGATCAATGGTGAAAGCATTGGTCGTCACTGGATGAGCTACCTCTCTCCTCTTGGAAAGCCTACTCAGTCAGAGTATGTAAACCACTCACAATACAAACAGATGTTTGGACTTGAAATCCATAGGAAGAAAACTAAGTGCATGTCTAGAAACATGTTAAAATGTAAACTTAACGCAGAAGTTCTAACTAGTAGTATTGAAGTAAATATAAATCTATGGCCATTCAAATGTGAATTCAAATACACACTAACGCAAGTTATTAACTCTTTGTCTACTTCAAATATGTTGCTCAGGTACCACATCCCAAGAAGTTTCCTCAATCCAAAAGACAACTTACTTGTTATATTTGAGGAAGAGGTAGCAAATCCTGAAAACGTTGTTATCTTAAATGTGGACAGAGATACAGTATGCAGTTTCATTACAGAGAATTATGCACCAAATCTGAAGTCATGGGCAAGTAAGAGCGGCAAATTCCATGCTGTTGTGGATAATCTGAAGCCAGCAGCTTCAATCAAGTGTCCAAACGACAAAACCATTTTGGCTGTAGAGTTTGCAAGCTTTGGTGATCCTTCGGGTTTCTGTGGAAGCTTTTCTGTGGGCAAATGTAATGCACCTTCCGCTACGAAGATTGTTGAGCAGGTACATACATGTCTCATTTCTTTGCAAACAAACAATTCATTACCAACTCGCTTTTTCTATCTTACACTATGATAAAAATGGAACTGAACATTTTTTTTTTTTTTAATATTTGAGCAGCATTGTCTACGAAAAAATGCTTGTTCAGTTCCAGTGGACAAGGCACTCTTTAACATGGGTCAAGATGAATGCCCAAGTGTGATGAAGGCACTTGCAATCCAAGTGAAGTGTGGCTATTAGAATCCATTTACTTTCTCTTTTTTTGTCATGTAACCTTTCACTAGTCATGTTAGAGTTGGGTGGCTTAGTGATGTGATAGGTGAAGGGGAGCCCATGAGCTCAAATTTTAGTTAGTTTTTATTGCAAAGGATATATATATATATCCTTATTTAATAAATAACATTTTGTTTGTTCTATTTTTACATTAAAAATTTTGAACAATAATTCAGTTTTGTTTCATATTCGCCAGCAACTTGCGATTCATCTTGGATTGATAAATCCCTTGATTTCCTACACTTCAGACTTGGCAATTCAAAAGGGTTCATTATTTCGTCTATTATCAGAGAACAATAAAACGTATAAACTCTTAGAATTTACAAACATATGACAGTTTTTTTTTTTTCAAAACAACATTGTCAAAGGCACATTTTTTACTGTAATAATAGAAATTTATTAATCCCAAAATAAAAATGAGGCTCGCTAAAGAGGATGTGATACTTTTTTAATGTTTTAATATATTTTAACTAATAATAAAAATTGTATTAAACATATGCGTTAGAGAACATTTTACATTACAATGTAATATGTGCTTCTCTTTAAAACAGAGGATACTTTATATTACAAGAGTGCTGTCTTCTTGAATTCACACACACATTTTTTCCTTTATTTACTTTTTACATTTCTCATTACAAATTTATTCATGAAAATGTTCAAATTTATGTTTACTTAGGATTTTAAAAAATATTTCTTATGAAAATTCTCAACAATAATTTTTCCAATATTCTTAAGCTTTCATTTTTTGGGTATTGAAACTCATTTTTTGAAATAAAGAAAAGCTATTTATTATGCGAGGTCCGTGTATAACTTCTTATCGATTAACTGTTTATTATAATTTTTTATCTTATAAAAGTGGAATATTATCTTTTTTATATTGATTTAAATTTTTCTTTAACTTGCTTTTCTGTCATTTTATGAATATATAATATAATATTCAAGATATATATTAATTATCGCATTTTAATCACAATTTAATCAATAAATCATTAACCAATTTTAAAAAAAATTTCTCTACTATCTCCAATGAAAAGAAAAATACAAATTAATCATAATATATTTTTAACATATAATTATGTTGATATAATATTTAATCTTGAAAAATGACAACTTGTAATATTTTACTCTTTAAATGTGTAAATTTACTAATAGTTGCACTCTTTAATTTTAAAATGTATGATACCTTTCTTATGTGATCTTGATAACAATATATTTTTGAAACTGTTGTCAGTTATTTTTTGTTATTTTAGTTTATTAGATTAATATCATAGTTAATAAGTAGTTTCAATTAGAAATAATTTTGTTTGTTATAATCTTTCGATTACATAATTAGTTTATGTTTCTTTGATTTATTATAAATGTATTGATGCTATCGAATAAAAGTTGAGTTTTTTTTCCATTCATTCTTCTCATAATTCTGTACATTTATTTTATTTTATTTTACCAAAAACCAACAAAGTGGTATCAAGGGCTATCTTCTTATAGACTTGTGAAAATAGATGTTAAATTAAATTTCTCACAAGTTGTTCATCCCATCTTTGATGGAGAAAATCATTATCTTTGAGCTATCAAAATAAAGACTTACCTAGAGGCTTTAGATCTTTGGGAAGCTTTTGAAGAGGATTACAAAGTTCTTCCATTGCTGCATGATCCTACCATAGCCCAAATAAAAAGTCACAAGAAGAGAAAAACACAAATGGCAAAGGAAAAATCATGTCTTTTTGCTGGTGTTTTAACAACTATCTTTACTAGTATCATAACTTTAAAAGCAACAAAGGTAATTTGGGATTATCTTAAGAAATAATATGTCGGAATGAAGAATTCAAGGCATACAAGTGGTGACTTTGATGAGAAAATTTGAATTCCAAAGAATGAAAGAATCCAAACAATTAAAGTATACTTAGACAGACTGTTTGGCCAAACTAGTAAGGTAAGATTACTAGGTACTAATTTTCCTGATTCTAGAATTGTAGAAAAAATTCTTATAATGGTACATGAAAGATTTAAGGCTACAATCACCACTTTAGAGAATACCAAATACTTGTCTAAAATCACACTAGTTAAACTCTTAAATGTCTTGTAAGCACAAGAGAAAAGGCGTACAGTGAGACAATAAGGTGCTATTGAGAGAGTCTTACATGTCACGCATCATAAAAGTGCAAGATACAACAAGAAAAAATCTTATCTTCTATGTCATCATTGTAGAAAAAAATAGTGATCCTCCTTTCAAATGTTGGAGGAGGCATGATGCACAATGCAGTAAATGTAAGCAAATGGGATATAAAGAAGTTATATGCAAAAATAAAAACCAACACCAAGATGAAGAGACTAAGATTGTTGATCAAGACAAAGAATATCATTTATTTGTTGTTATTTGCCTCTCAGACTTTAAATCAAATGAAGGTTGACTAATTAATAGTAAATGCACTAACTACATGACTAATAACAAGAAACTTTTTAGAGATTTGATGCCGACTAATATTACTAAATTCAAAATACGTAGTGGTGATTTCATCCGAGTCAAAGAAATGGGAACAATTGCAATAACCAACCATTTAGGAATGAAGCTAATTCACGATGTTCTTTGGATTCCTAAAATTGACTAAAATTTGTTAAGTGTTGCTCAACTGATTGAAAGGGAGATTCAAAGTTATTTTTGAAGACAAACATTATTTGATTAAAGATAAAGTTGGTGAAGATATTTTCAAAGTAAAAATGAAAAAAATATTACTCAGAAACTATTGAAGGAGGAGCAAACAACTTTCTTATGCAAAAAAAATATCATAACATTTTACCCTAATATCTTGAGTGCTGAAAATAAGTTTTCTAGTTTCATCTATAGTTCAAATGAAAGACATCTCAAGGTTGTAAAGAAAATGGTTAAATATTTCGAAGACACTTATAACTCAAGCATTAACTTCAAGTGGAGTGAAAAATTCAAGTTGACTGATTTCTCTAATAGTAATCGAAGTGACTCAATTAATTAATTTTATTTTTTATGGCAAAAGAATATTTTATTTGATTTTAATTTGAAGTAGAAAGAGAATACAAAATTCTTATTGACAACAAATCCACTTTTTATTAACAAATTTAAACTGCAAAAAGATAGAATTTGCAGTTTAAAAAGTAAGGAGGAGTGTTAACAATATACTTTTGAAACTGTTATCAGTTGTTTTCTGTTATTTCATTTTATTATATTAGTATCATAGTCTATAAGTAGTTTTGATATTTTATGAATAATTTAATTTGTTGTAAAATCTTTTGATTACATAATTAGTTTATTTTTCTTTGACTTATTATAAATGTATTGTTGCTATTGAATAAAAGTTGAGTTTTTTCTCTATTCATTCTTCTCATAATTCTGTGCATTTTCTTTTCTTTATGTTATTTCTTTTTTGCCATAGAACCAACAGGTCCAATATATTTATAACATTTGTAAAAAATATATTCAACATTGAAAAAAAATGATCATTTTTTATTTTTCGTAATTGCAATTCCTCCCCTTTTGAATGTCTTTGAAGACTGCAGTTAGAGTTCATTGAAACAAAGGGAGAGAAGGGCTATCAAATAGAGGTGAAGTACGACTATTAATGTAGGTGAAAATGACAAATGTATATACCAGTGAAAGGTGATAGTGGGGTTAGAGGATAATATTGTCGTGATGTCACTATATATTCAAATGGTGGTTACCATGGGTTGATTTTGTTTTACGTGTGTCAAGCTTATATATTTATATATTTTTTTCCTTTTTAAAATGTGTTGTAAGTGTTGGAATCATATAAATTTTCATGCTTTGGAATATTATTATGAGAGTTGAGCAATTGTTGGGTAAAAGTTATATGTTACACTGTTGTGTGATTGTCTTGTTTGATACGACTAGTAGTGGGAGGGGTTTTTGATTGGGTCTTTAAGTGTTTTATGTGTGTTTTGATGTAAGAGTATAATAGAACTTTTTTGGTGTAAAACTCTCATTGTTTTGCCTTCATTCTGGGAGAGATATAAGTTTTGGGTGCAGAGTTTCTCACTTAAGCGAGGTGTGTCTCACTCAAGTGAGATTTGGTTCGTTCTGATTTGAGCATTCTAGAGAGATCTCACTCAAGTAAGATAAGATAAGACTACCTCAACTGTCCTCTCGCTTAGGCGAGAAGGAATCTTGCTTAGGTGAGAAGCAACATCGCTCAAGTGAGATGAGCTTGCCCAAGCAAGTATGTTGCTCGCTGAGGCAAGAATGCAACTCACTCAGGCAAGATGCCTTTCGCTCAAGCAAGAATAGCAGAAAACTGAGTAGTTCCACCATCTAGTTTTCTCGCCTAGGCTAGAACAGAACTCGCTTAGGCGAGAATTGACTCGCTCAAGTGAGAGCGTGTGTGCTTAGAGGAGTATTTAAGTGACTTCAATGCAGAAAACATTCATTTCTCACAAAACAGTCTTCCCCTCTCATTTTCTTTCTGTTCTTTCACCTATTCCCCTTAAAGAAAACCTTCTCGAAGCTGAACTTTTTTTTTATCCAAGTCTGGACATCTATTCCATCCAGATCTAGATGAGTTTTTAGAGCTCAGTTCTCCGTTTTCACTCCTTGGTTCTTGATTTCTTTTCTCAAGAGCTTCTCTTTTGCAATACTAAGGGGATCTAAGTTTCTTGAGCATTGTATCTCTCTTTAGGACTCATGAGGAGTGTGATCTTAGAAACTTATTCCAGGTAAGGGGAGCTTATCCTAGATGGCTTTGTTATTCACTCGGACATTATGATATTATATGTAAATCTTGTTTTGGCTAAGAAGGGGTTGATATATAGGCAAACCTTAGGATAAAACATAGAATCTATGTGATGGGGTTCTCTGTTGTTCTGTGAATGGTATGAGACTATTTATATTTAAGATAAATATTTGAAATGTTGTAGTATAATGTACTGAAAAAATTTAATATATGACTGTATTATTAAGACTGAATGAAAATATATATGACTGTATTGCTGAGACTAAATGAAATTATAAATATGGTTGTGTTGCATTATGTAGATTTGCATCATTCTAGAGCCGAGTTATATGTTTAGGTTGTTAGACATGTAACGATAGGAAGACTAAGTTGTACTTTGTCTGGATCTAGATACTGTGATGAGTCGCTCCTAAACAAAAAAAAATTTGGATTCCTTTTGGATTACTTAAGCTGTCAAACCAGTTAGAACTAGATTGTGCATTAGATGGACTGAGAATAAGCATAAGGATTGTATTGTTTTGCTAAGCATTTTGATGTATTAAACTGTATATACATATATTACATTTATATTAATTTTATAATTATGGTTGTTTATTGTGTAAGCTCACACTTGCTTTCTATCTGTGTTGGCGTGTGTGCTACGATGACTATATGGTGGTAAGTGAGTAAGAGTGACAAGTGAAGCATCCACTTCCCATGTTGGAGTTTGGCTGAGGAGTGGTATGAGTTGAAGATTTTGATATCTGTAGCTTTAATTTTGTTAGTCTAGGTTTTAGTGCGAATCTAGACTATTTAGCTATAAGATTAGTGTTGAAATTAGTGTTGAAATGTAATTAATCAAATTATGAGTTAGTATTTTGAGTTCTATGATGAACAACTTTTGTCCATGTGTATATTCAGAGATTTATTAAAATGTCCTTGTTAGGTTTACTCGTGGAGATGATAGATTTTATTTCTTCATTAATCATAGAGTTCAATTTCAATCCTTTTAAGTGCATAAAATTTATACAGGTGTGAAAAGTATGTCATATATCTCTTCCAAAAAAGGGTTGTGATAGCATGTTGGCTTAGAAATGGAATGGTGGCCTCTTTTGGCAAGGATGATGAGATGTGGGTGTTTTGAGGTTGAGGTTTTTTTTTTTTGGATCTAAGACGTCATACGACTCTTGAACAGTAATGATAATGTCGTTAGTGCAAAGATGATGGTGTTGCGGTTTGTGTTTGATGAGAGGTATCTTGCAGTGAGTTTATAGTTAATATGACAAATTTAATGTAAAACTCCACTACGACACTGCCATTAACGTTGTCTCTGTCATTGTGAGCCTCTCACAAAGTCATCCTCCTCTGCAAAACTCGCATCCGTACATTGCTACAAATTGTTAGTTGTCACAAACTTTTACCAATATTTTGCTTAGTCCAATCAATCAACACTAAAACCCTCTGCTTGAAATCAATTAGCACCAATAACTTTTTAAACTAAAATAAACTAAAGGACCTCTTTGTAATATTTAAAATCATAAATAATTTATTTATTGAAAACAAAGCAACCCTATGTTATTTGGTCCACGTAAGAAGAATATTAATATCCTTTTAAACGTTAAGGTACCGTAGCAAGCATAAGTAATTTTACCCTCAGAACACTAATTTGCACTTTTGATAACTTCGTAAAACTGAAGGAACAAAATTACCAGCAGATGAGTGCTTACGAAAAAAGCTAATTTATAATTATAGATTTTGTTCTTGCGATAAAAAACGTATAGTAAAATAACAAACGTGTTTGCATATAAAGGTGTACAACCCATTCCTCCAAAACGATCATCAGTTCCATAAATTATTTTTGAGAACGGAGTTTAACAAATTTAAATTCGCTGAAGTAAAAATAAAATTGAAAGTTCAATTCTTGCGTTAACTGAATGAAGAGGTCAAAATCCAAATAACTTCTAAAAAATTATGCAATAAGCATTTACAATAGTATATAAAAATCTTATTTAAAATTTTAATAAGTTTTTAAAACTTTTATAAACATTTTGTGATTTATTTTTATAATTTTTAATAAATCATATTAACATAATTTTTTTATTTTCATGATAAAACATATTACTTAAAATCTCATATAATAATCGAAGTACTTTTTAAGTTTCTTAATATACCTTACTTCCGATTTTTCATCAAATTCAAATAGTCTACGGACTTCAAAAAAATCTCAACAAGCCCTAGAACTATCCAAAATTCATTCAGTCATGGAATCTACTTCTAAGAGTTTTAGGACCAAAATAATTTTTTAATTATGGAAATTAATTTGAGCTGGCGAATAAGCTAAAGGAATAAAATGGCAGTATACTCCCCGACATGATATTGTACCAGTTAATATAGTCTTGTTTCAAATGCAATAAAACATTTCTACACGTCTGTTGCCTCCCATATAAACGCAGCTTCAATGCACAACGGCCAAAAACCAAAAAAGAATACATGGTAGAATCATTCGGATAAAGGCTCCACTTGACAGGAGATCAAAGATGAATTAATGAAATCATAAAGCATGGCATTTGAGATCTAACATGAAATTGGAAAGCATAGTATTTGAAATTATTCCTATTCCCTTTACCATCATCTTGCATACATGTATAATAACTAACTGCCAACAATTTGACTTGAAAACAGAATGATAAAAAATTTAGGGGGAAAATAACTCAACGTTCCTATTATATTTACATGTTGTAACAGCTAGTACGAGCTCCGCATATCCCTTTACACCTTGAAAATGTGGCGATCCGATTCGACTGCCAAGTTATCGAAGAATTCAGGTCTGTTTTACAAATGAAAGAAAACGAACAAAAAAGGTAAAAAATCTATTGGTTTTATTCGTTAAAATAATCAACAAATTTAGTAAATGCCATAGAGAATATGATCTCATACCTGAACAATGCCACAGCCTTTGATGAGTGCGCCTCAAGTGAGGCCATTATTTGAGAAGCGAGGAGGGAAAGTACATGCAACCAAAAAATAATTAAGCCTCGAGAATATACCCTGATTCATCATATTAACATACAGGGTCGAGTTGGTTAGTTCCAGAAACTCATGATAAATCAAAGGATCCCTGGCCTTCACTGATTGCATAGAGTAGCTTCTTGTACATAATTTCCTGTTTTAAATTGGAAATCAAAAATCAGTACCATAAAAAGGCCTTGAGATGCATGATCATATAATCACTGTGCTTATTAGTATTGTACCTTGGTAGAATAAGGAGGAAGCTTCAGGTAATTAGCACACGTCATCACACTTGGCAAGTCATCATCTGCTGATTCTGAAGGTGCGTTGCCATTGGAGGAAGCATTAGCTGCAGTTGATGAAAGCTGTACCCAAACATGTATCACTTCAGATTTATGTTTAGAAATTATAACATTTTTTGAAAAAAAAAAAAAAAAAGCTGCAATAGCACTGGCAATGACCACTTTCAAAAAGGTCAACCCCGCCAACCACACCCCCCACGCATACATACAAAACTACATGAAGGCATGAATGACCTAGAACACAGGTAGCCAGTGATCAAATATTTTTCTAGTACCTTCCTCACAATCGTTAGTTTTGGATTTAAGACTGCCAGTCCACCAGGGGGGAGCCTAGGTGCACCAGTGACAAATTGGCAGAAGGCACGCTGCTGCTCTGGTGTGAACTCTCCCATAATTTCAAGTAACTGAAAATAGCACCACACCCAGGATAAGCATCAGACAAAACTAAATTTCTGACAATACACAATTGTCCTTCTATGAGGGAAAAAAATCGTACATTAATAATGGCAGGGCTCTTGGCAGTATACCCATGGTCAAATTTTATGTGATCAGCTAGTGTCTCTGTCTGCAGAAAATAGAAATAAATTTATGATTACATTATCCCCAGAAATGTTTCAAATATTGTTATATGCAGCAAAAATAAATTGGGGTAAACCAAAATACCTTCCACAATTCTCTCCGGCCACAAAGCAAATAATCCAGTTCTTGGGGAGTAAAAATTTGTAAAGATGAGATGTCAAAAACCTGGATTGACAAGGACAAGTGTGAAAGTGACAAATGTTTAGTTATCAAACTCGAGTAAATGAACAAAATATTCAAATAATTTTTCCAACTATTTTCCAGCCCATCCCTTCCACATGAGAGGCTAGCAACTCCTTTCACACAACATTCAATAACTGAATATTTCACACCAATGGAAGGAAAAACACACATTTGTTTTCTTTCATCCTCTCTTCATGTGCAGATAAAAGGGGCATACAAGGTTGGTAGCAAACACAAGTGAAAGACACGGAAATATTTAGCAACTTCCCATCTGATAGGTGCAAGCGTGAGATTTAGGATATAGATGTAGTTCATTGCTTAAGATACAACAAAAGAACAGTCATTTTTAGTACAACAGAAAGCTCTGTCTGTAAGAACATGAATGGTGTAAGAATCTACAAGTTGAAGGATAAATGCTCTATATTATCACAGTAAACCCTGGTCAAGTCTTATTCTTAATAAAATTGTATTGGAGATGTAAGAGAAAAGGAATGGGAGGGAGAAAAATGAGCTTAGTTATGTATAAATAGATAGACAAAAGACAACAATGAAAATACCAAACTTTTTACAGTCTAAAAAAAAAACATTTTTGATAAAACTTACTCACCATCACCAAACAAGATGCACAGTTAAAGAATTAATTAAGATTAGCATATAACCTGATTAAACCCTGCTCTAAATGCTTCCATTTGACGCATTATTCCAGTCTTGACAGTTGCATCAACCACCATGGATATGTATTCCTCCAGATTATTGATGTCAACCTGAAAGTTTGACAGTAAGTTCAATGCAATTCTCATAATACAAGAGGCAGAATCAGAACCAAAACAAAAACAAAAAAAAAAAAGATATAGACTGAATACATACAATTTCATCTCCAGGATTCAAAATGCAGTCTGGATAACCAGGAAGAGTAAAATCCAAGCATAGATCTTCAACTGGGGCCCCACGGAAATGCAAATTAGCAATTGTATCGGCATACCTACCACCAATAGATTCTATATAATGTTTTCGGCAAACAAGGGCATTTAACTCTTGCAAAGTTTTTCCAAGCTCAGCATCAATGAAAAGAATATCATGCAAATCAAGCTCCTGCAATCAATCGAAGGCAAAATAAATACATACTAAATAAAACCAGCCTTTAGATCAACTATACTCCTGAAAATGGATAAGACATTAACATTTCATAACAACTTACTTGACCAAGAACAAGCTTAAAAAATGCCACTGACAATGGTAAATCCAATAAGCGTCCATCTTGAAGAGCTTTAGCCATTACACGGCCCAAAAGCCGGAAATATTCAATCACTTTAAAGAACTGGGTCCCCTCCGATGCATCAGCATTTGCAGGCCAAGGTCGAGGAAACAACCCGAGAGGAGTTTCAACAAGTTCTCCATCTCCAGTAAAAGATCCGTCAATACTTCTCATTTTTTTTTCATCTCCATCAATTTCCATTTGATATTTCTCTGAAGAACCTGATCTCCACATTTGAAGTACAACTTTTTGTAAGTCATGACTTAGAAGTGTATAGAACTCAAGGGTGGGACCCAGACCAGTGCCAACTTCACCAAAATATTCTACTTCAAGTACAGCCTTTTGACTAGAATACATCTCCATCACTTTAGCAGCAGAATCCAAAATGCGGTTTCGAGATACACGAACCTTTTGCCTCTGCAACCTGCCAACCCTGACCTCTCTTTCATTTGTTGATCCATGACCATCAGCACCCTGCTGCTGCTGAAGTCGATACAGCGCACGAGATAACCCAAAGGCAGTTGAATAGAAGTACTGTCGCCGAGTCTCAAAAGGAAACAGAAAAGGGCAAGCTTTAGTTAACTGGTAACACCAAGAGGGAAGACTACCACTGCATAGGGCAAGTGCATCTTGAATTTGCCTAGCTAATTTTGGAGTAAGCTTGCTGCTTATAAATTCTTCTGCAGGAACCCTAGCACCAGAGGTAACACTTAGCTCATCTAAATCTGAAATTTTTCCCTCTGCAAAGCTATCACTAACCGCTTGGGCCCTCAAACGAGGTGCAAGCTGGTTCAAACCCTCTAGCACACGCAATAGTGCCAATATATTGTATGTAGGATTGCTTTTCTCCAGTTCACAGGGCAATTCTCCCTGCAAGATACTATCTAATACAGAAGTCTGGTGCAGCTTGGCTTCAGAACTGGAATTGTATACAGACCCAGATTTGCCGGATTTTGAAGCATTTGAGCTTGGACCTCCAGGGGAAGCCCTATCTGTTTGGTTCTCTGCCCTCTGATAAAATATAGTATAAATATCACCCCACAGCCTGCTTCCATCACTTGAGACATAGTCACTACCACCAAATCTCTCATCATCATCTTCATCAAGCACAAGCTGTCTTTGAATTGCCTGATATATAGTTAAATGCCTATTAAGCTGCTTCCCACCAGCAGTAAAAATCAACTTTGGAGGATCATTAGAACTACCAAACAGTGGACGCCCTTGCCTATCTCTGCCACCCCTGATACCTCTGCTATTGGCAGATCCAAGTCCAGCCATAGCAGCAGCAGCAAATGACATTGCACCCCTGGAGCTAGAAGTATAGCCACTCCTAAAATCAGCAGAGTCTGATCCCCTGACTGTTCCAGCCTTGCTGCTAGAACCTGAGGCAGCATTAGTCTGGCCATCACTTGTTGCAGGAGCAATAGTACTCTCCTCAGCAGAGTCACCCAACTTCACATCATGTACGTTGTCAGGTGAGCAAACAGGGAGAGAATCATCCCTCAGAACCTGCATCAGAAAAATTAAAACCACAAAATTTGTAAGAGTAGATACGTTAACTTAATTAAAATATTCAATCTTGGTTAACAAGAACTAATGACAGTTGCTAAAATTTGGAATAAAAACATTAGAATGGAGATAGTGATGAAGGGCTTGGATAGTTTGATGTTTATACATTTAAAGTTTAAACCTCAATGCCACCATTGTACCAAAAAAGAAATAGAAAACAAAAAGGATGGTAAGCAGTATTTCACTTTGATAAAATTGTAAACAAGAAAAGGTCAGCAGTGCTGGTAGTAAAAAAGATAAAGATTCATACAGACATTAACATATTGAAAGCAATGTTAAACACAAATAATTTCAGAAAAGCAAAGGCAGTAACTACTAAAATGAAACACGACTAAATTTGAAAATGTTAGCCAAAGAAAAAAAAAAGAAACAGTAGATAACATACATCTTCATGGTCATCATCTTCATCATCAGAAATATCATCATCTTCAATCACCAATGCCTCATCAATCTCCACAGGAGATATATCCAAATCTTCATCCTACAATGCAAATAGCAGAAAAAAATCCACAGCAAATAGATACTTTCAGAGACTTGATTTAAGTTCATAATTTAATCCAAAGAAAATCAAACAATAAGTATGCTTAGCACCCAAGTTAAGCCCTATCCACTGCATATGGGGTGCCTGTGTGGATGTGAGTATTATACTCAACAGATCCTAACAACAATTTAACAACTACAAGAACCTAGCTAGCTACATACCAACTATCATTTATGTAAACAATGCCAGAACCAAGGGGGAATTAAAAAAAAGTATCTCCTTTATAGACAAAATAAGTAACCCCACCCAAAAATAATCTAAAATTTTCCCAATGAGTAATATAAGCCTACAATTTCATATGGTGATAATGCATAATGCTAGAATACAAAAAATGAAAACTGCATACAGTAATTGATTTTTACTTCAGAGTAGCACTAAACAAATAATCGTGACATACATGCATTTATGAAAGAAGGGTGGGGATCAGCATATTCATGTTATCCATTTTGATCACACCCACTGAAATACACCATTACCAGCAATGTTGCTTCAGTGCATGGTAGATAAGTTTCAATTTTTGCAGTGAATTATCACTACTACTAAATTTAAATAAAATATGGAGAAAGAAACCAACAGTGCTAAAAAAAACAACAGTTTAACAAAATAATCAAAAGAGAACCTAGCCAAGTATATCAAATAAGGGATGAATCATGAATATAGCTTAAATAAGTAATTATAATCACCAGCCATCAATAAAGCTAAATGGCAGCAGTAAATCAACAAAATAAAAAATGTTCCAAAGTTACAGATATTTGCAAAGAAATTTTAGGTGTCTTTTCTAGCTTGCCATGCGAAAGGTAATAAAGCATCTCTACCTCTTCTATTGACACTATTAAGTATTATTCCTTAGAGTTTACTTTGAAAGTCAAAATGAAACTAGCAAAATATATAGCGAGATTTTCCACCAATATCTCCTGACTTTTATGTGTGGGAAAAGAATTCCAGAAGGACACAGAGGAATGAGCAAAAGAAAACCATTCAACAAGGACTAATTCTAAGTTCTAAATTAAATGGGGAAGAAAAAGATTGCACCATTGTGAACTCATCCCTAAGATTCACAGCATACCTCAGAGGTAGATTCATCATTTACTGGCTTCATTTGAGCATCTTTATCAAGAGCTGCTCTTCTGCGAGCAGCATTCCTGGTTTGAGGTCCTCTTGATTCCTCCTGTGCAGGCTTTAATACAGCTTTTCCTTTACCCTTAGATGAGCTTGTGCTTTTTTCTTGAGCTATTTCCTTTCTGGGCATATCACCTATATTAACAGATGATCTTGATCTTGTGGAATGACGACGAGTAGTAGTAGAAGTAGAGGGAGAAGATACACCAGCTCCTGCAGGAGTTGTCCCAGATTCTGAATTCCCAGCAGGTACAGTGGACTTCTGACCAGATTCACTTCGCTGGATACGAGGCCAAAGAAATTCCTCAATGGCTGCTAAACTTGCTAATGGATCAATCAGTACAACATTAGATGAATAATCCCGAAGTGATTTTTCACCCTGGGCTCGACAAAGCCGCAGTTTGAAGGGCTGAGACAATGCACTTAGCCCGGAAGAGAGGCGTGCACTTCCACTAGATGACCTAGATGAATGGCTCAGCACAACAGGGAATCGCTCCAAGGAGGACAGAGCATTTTGAAGCTTCTGGACCAAGACAGTCATAGGAGCCACAGTCCCATATTCAGTAGTGGAAGGTAGTGCAACAGCTATAAATGACTTGAACCTTGTAAGTGCTTGTTGGCGAAGCTTCGGAAGGTGGGTTTCTAAGGGTCTTTCTTTAGAGAAATACCCAGAAGAAAAATAATTCAACAAAGTTGCAACAACACCGCTACCAATAAATTCAAAAGTAGATACACCATCTCCTTTGCCAAGTTCCTTTAGCATGTCAGATATGACCCCAATTAAATATTCTTCCAAACCAAATCCAAATGTTTTAGATTTTCCTTTACCATTAGTCCTTTGGCCATCTACACCAGCATTCAACTTTGTGCAAAGATTTTTCAGATGTAAAAGATCATCAGTAACACCCACCTCAACAGCCCCAGGATCTGAAGGAAAGTACTTATCTTTAAAAGCTTTAGCAGCTGCACTAACAGATAACCGAATACTAGAATTTATTGTTGTAATATCTGCAGAACTTGGAGGGGAACCAACATTTACTGCAACTGGACTCTTCAAATCATCCAATGGATTTCCATCAGGATTGGAGTTCCCACTGCGTCGCCGATAACGCCTAGACCGAGATGATGCTCCAGATAGAGAATCATTATCCTTCTCCAAGGAAGATGCCTGTATATTGGTTGAATTTCCAGCTAAAATAAGTTGGTCCACTGCATGCACAACACCTTCTCTGATGAACATCTTAGAGAATGTCCCAGGAAGCTTTTCCATAAGAATTTCAGCAATTTTCAAGGCTGGTATCAAAACTTGTGGATCTTTCCACGCTAAGACGCCAGCTAAGAAACTATAAGATCACAGTGACAGTACATAAATTTTCTATAACCATAAAAATAGCGAGAACATCAAGCAATATAAACTCAACTAAACTTCTTGATACCTAGATATATTTGTCACACTCAACAATGACTGGATCATCTCTGCTGTGCTAAAGTACATCAACTTTCCAATGACAGAAAGACATCTGTGCCGAACAGGACCATTGACACTAGAACCATATATCTGTGCAAAAGCAAACCAATACTATCAATTAGCCATAGCAGAAGACAAATAATGAAGCAAAGAAGCAATTTACAGAAGAAGTTCTTAAAAAAATTTAACAAATTTATAGACCAAAATTTAAGCATTTTATCAATGCAACAATGTCAACCTGTATTAAAACTGGAAGGAGATCCATCGCAAATTGCTTAAGTAGCTCAGGCTGATCATTTAATAGTTTCTCACGAGCTGATATCTCAGGAACATTTCCATTTGTGTCTTCCTGTTTCCCAGAGCTCCCAACAGGAGACTTTTTAACAACAGGTCCTTTAAAAAACAAGTAGGAGATGACAGGGGGAGGAATTGTTCCTTGTGGCAATGGGGGCAGAAGTTCATTTGCCAGGTTTACAATCTCAAATATCTGTATATCAGAATAGTGAATTAAATAGTTTCATCTCCTCATAAAAGATAAGAAAGCAAGAAACTGAAAATATCAAGGATCTAAATGACGTGTGCAAGGTCAGAATCTGTCAAATGAACCAAAAAAAGATAACACTACACAGAAATGAGCCAAAGAAAGAGTTCTGAAGTTGCACTGTACCTGTTCTGGTGGCCTACTTAATGCAGGAGAAACAGAAGCATTAGAAGAAACTCCAGAACCAGATAAAATATCTTTAAGAATACCACTAATTCCAAGAAGAAGTAAAGTTTTAGCTCCAAGAGGGGACCCGCTTGCACAAGTTGAAAGAAGTCGGATTAAACCCTGCATATGCCTAAGTCAAGGACCAACAAATAAGGGCAAAAGCACCAGGCTTAAAGCAAAAATTGCACTTACAGTATATGTAGACGTGCTAAGAGAAGCCTGTCCACCTCCAGAACTGCTGCTAGAAATGAGGGAGGCAGCTTGTGTTACCAGTCCATGATTGCACAATTCATCTAACTTGTCCGGAGAGGCTGCAAATGCTTCAGCTATTCGAGTCAAACAAACAGATGCATGCTCCAGCACCTACAAAATTAAGAGAAACATATATGAAGATATAGCTAAAAAAATTATAACATGGGCAGTAGGAATCAAAATTTTCCTCCTTTAAGACAAATTTCCCTCAAAGGTAAAACTAAGGATGTAAGAAGGAAAATATAACTTCCATTATATGACAAGTCCGACAATAAAACATGGCCTTACCTTGGAATCGTGGTACTGAAGAAGGTTTGTCAGAAGCGGAACAGCTTCCATCACAAAGTCAGCTGCGTCTGAAGGAAGTTTCTTGCACATATTTGCTGCAGTAGACAATGCGACTCGCTGAAACAAATATTATGTCACTTTTCACTTTTTCACTAAGAGTACCTATGGCCAAATGAATTGACTGTCCAAAACTATCATCACCCTCTAAATATAAGCACTTCACTGATGATTTACCTGAACTCCTGTTGAGAAGAATTCCAAATAAGAAAGCACAGCCATAAGTGCACCTGCTCGTAGGCAGGCAGTGGGGTGCTCCTGCGATATCTTCTTTAGAGCTTGAAGGGACTGTTCATGTCATCAAACACGGTAGTAAAGCAATAAGAATCTCATTTCCAGAATATCAGACCATTGATTAAAAAAATTGCCCGTCATTTCACAATACAAAATACGACTCAAGAACCACGTAATATATAGTTCTAAAACCAATTAGGCATCATCAGAATTCAACATAACAAAAAACACCCAAATTTGTTCCAAATTCCTTCTACCATTTTCACTAATCACACAATGGTAATGAGCTAGGGAACAACCTGCTCGGCCAAGTCCATATACTCTATTGTGAGCAACCTCGCACAGAAGATAGGCACTGCATTGTAATGCACAACAGCAGCACAAGACGAAGGGAGCACATCGCAGAGATGAGTTAATGCCCTGGCCGCAAGGAGCATAATATCAGGATTGCTCTCGTGATTCAGCAACCCCACGAGCACCGGAACGAAAGAATCAACAGAGAACGTACTAAGCGAGTCCTCGGTCCCAATCGAAAGCATTTCACAGAGCTGCGTTAACGCTTCAACCTGCCGCCCTTCTTCCCCATCGGCCCGCAGCCCGAACAGGATTTTCTTCAGCCTCCCGCTCTGATGAGACGAAGAAGCAGAACCCATCGCCGGGGACGGAAGCAGATCATCCAAACCCGCACCAAGTTTCCGAAGAAGCCCCTGAAGTGCACTGCTCGCCGACGTCAAATTCTGGTGCAACATCCCGACACCGCCCTCGCTGTCGTTATCATCTTCGTCTCCAATGCCGCCGCCGTCCACATTAAGCGCCAGCCCCCTCTCTGCATCCCTATCCCTAATCCTAACATCGTGCTCCTTCTCCTTGCCCTTGTCGGAATTGTCCTTGCCGCGGCGATCGCGGCGCGAGCCGGAGGATTCATTGGCAGGGTCCATGGGAGGAGGATTTTTAGGCGGCAAGGGTTCCTTAGTCCTGGATGCACGTGAACGAGTGTTGACAGAAGGAGGAGGAGGAGGAGGTGGAGGAGGAGGAGCGGTGGTGGCGGGGGCGGAAGAAGAAGAAGAAAGACGCGTGCGCTTACTGGAACGGGTGGTGGGACCAGAGGAGGAAGATGAAGGGGCAGCTGAGGAAGCCTCCGCCCGCTTCCGGCTCCGAGTTTCCATACAAAAACCCACCCACCCCTCAATTTATCAACTCGCTCGCCACCGAGCGTCAGTCACGCTTTCGTCCACCTAAGAATCCCTACCATCGATCGAATCTTCGTTAAATAGAATGAATCGGTTCCACAATTGGAAACCCTAGGAATTGTGAATGGTGCAATTGCACGTGTCAGTGAGATTTGTGTGAGGAGTGTGATCAACAGCGAGAGGAATTTGGAAACGATAAAGGAAAGAGGTTGCAGGAAAACCCTAACGCCAGGGAAAGGGGAAAAGGGAAAAGGGAGAAGGGTGAAGGGTGAAAGGGAAGAGGAATAAAGAAAGAGAACGAGACGAGCCTTTTATATGTAACTTTTTTTTATTTTTAAATTTTGTTTAATGGATTGGTCACTTTCGTTCCTCAAACGGAACTCAACTCGCTGCGCTCCTTGGTGGCACTGTCGCAGTGTGGCGCGTACGCTTTCCTCCTTAGACGACGTCGTTTCTTCCAGCCCCAGCCATGTGTCGCGCTTATGTAGAAGACGACGATCACCTCATTCTTTGGGTACTTACATCCATTTAGACTATATTTTAAATAAAAATTACTTGTTTCATTATTAAATAATTCATTTTTTATGCATGTCAATTCTTTTAATTATTAAATAAAATATTAAATGAGTTTTATACTTTATGATAATAACTATATTTTTCATAATACATATAAAATATTAAAATATTATAAACTCTAATAAAAATGCATTAATTTTTTAACGTATGCTTAAATTTTATAATAAAAAATCTTGTACAACAACTATTTTATTGATTACACATGTTAAAAAAATTAAAAAAATAATATGATCTAATTATAACTAATATTAAAAAATGTCTATTTGATCTCATAAATTTTGCATTTGTTTAAATAATTAAATTTTTTAATTCAATAAAATATAGTAAAAAAATTACGCGTCCAAATTTTAATATTTATTAATTTTTTTTATTGTGTACTGATAGTACACAAGAATATTTTATTTATTTTATTCTTTTTCTATGTTATTTTTAATTTAAATATGCCTTTTATATAAAAAAGTACACAACAGTATAATAATTTTAAATTAATTTACAACTAATGAACTTGTAAACATGTTAAAATAATGAGATTATTCAGATATAACTTTAAAAATAAATTTATATAAAAAATTACATTAATAACTAATTAAAAATTATCATAAATATAACTTTTATAATTGTTACTATAATTTAAACTAAATTTATTTTAAAATTATATTCAATGATAAAAAAATTTAATTCTAAACTACACAAGTTTGAAAACAGTTTTTTTAGGATAAAATTTATTTTTGAGAGAAATATTTCTAATTATTAATTAAAAAATAATAAATAAAAATATAATATTTTAAAATAAATGACAAAATTATCTATTTTATATATATATATATACACACACATTTAATAGATAAGTAACTATTTAACATTATAAATATTTTTAGAAAATTAAATTTATGACATATAATAAAATTTATTATTTTAATAATTATTTATTTGTTTGTTATAAACTTCTTGACGTGAAAGGAATAAAATATTAAAATAAAAAATAAGTTTAAATAAATTTTTAAAATTTAATTATTATTATATAATGGTAAAACTTGTATATTAAAAAAAAATAAGGATAATAAAAGTACTTTTATTGCCAATAATAAAAATACTATTCTGTTATATAAAGTAAATTAAACACAGCAACCTTTAAAATTAAAAAAAAAAACATTTAAGTCAATACATGTCAAGCTCATATTTATTAATTTAATAAGGTGTTCAAAGTTAAGATTTAAATACTAAATTTAAGTATTAATATTTAAAACAAATGAAAATAAAAATAACAAATTACGTATGATTTACGAATACTTTTAGATTGAAATAGAATTATAAATAAAATAATAATATATTTTTTAATAACTATAAAATATTAATATTTTATTAGCAATAAAATGTGACTCCGAAGGATGAAGACAAAAATATAAATATAAATTATTAAATTCAAGTCACGTTATTTTTTTCACATTATATAATAAATTTAGATACTAAATTTAAAATAACATTAATTAATATTAAAGTAAATTTTTATTTTTATTTATTTAAATATCAATATATCTCTAATTTGACTCAGTGAATCAATATTTAAAATTTAGATTAAAATAAAATTTAAATTTAAATTAATAAATAATATTTAAAAAATCATAATTTTAAATATTAAATACTAAAAAACGAACCAATCAAATATTTTAATGAGAATGCGAGTAGTTTATAAAACTGTTTTTTTTTTTTTTCAAATAGTAATTTGTTTTATAATATGAGTGTAAATAAGGTAAAGAGACTTTAAAAGAAATTTACATGATACATCAAAAAAACAATAAATACTGTATCCTTTAATTCAAACGTAAGTAGCGACATTTGATACATGAGAATTATTATTTTAATTTTTTTATTTATTTTAAATTTAAAATATATCATATAATGTACTCTTTTCAATATAAAAAACGAAAATATTATTAAAAAATAATGTAATGATTATATAATATTTTTTAATTAAAAACACAAAACATTATAAAATTTAAACCGTTGATAACAATAAATACTTAAATTACTAATGAAAGTTTATTATTATTTTTTATTATATTCTATTAAATATGTTAAATATACTCCATGAATAAATTTTTTAACCTTTATTTTAAGATTGAATTTAAATATAAAAAATTAGTATGTTGCATTAAAAGATAAAATATTTTATTACACAACAATTAGAGTCTATAATATATTTAAATTATTATGTATTGTTGTAGTGAGAAAATTTATAATAAATTTTTATATTTATATGATTTTTTTACTTTTTTATTTTATACTTTTTTAATATAATACTTAGATGAATAAATTCACTTTAATTTTCTGAATTTTGACATAAACTTCCTTTACTATAATTCATCAACAAGCAAAAATAAATATTAGTCTCTTGGAATTTTTTTTTCAAATTTTTTTTAATTAAATCACATAGATTAAAATATATTTTCATGTAATGATTTATTTTTTAAAAATATCTATGATATTATAATTTTGCTTATAACTAAAGTTCAAATTTATTATTATTATTGTTAGGCTTGTAATTTATTATTAAGTAATCTATAATATTTTGTACTTATTAAATGTTAATTGAAGAATTATTTGGTATTGGAATATATTCAAATGGAGTTTGAAAAAGAAAAAAGTAAACAGTAATTTCAGCATGAACAGTAAGGCGATGTGAACAGTAATTCCAGCGTGAATAGTAACTCTGGCTGAACAGTAAGGCGATGTGAGCAGTAACTCTGGTGTGAATAGTGCTAAATTTTTTCTTTTGAAATTTTGCTTATAAATAGGGATTTTTGCACGAAATTTTCACTTCTTCACACTTCTCAAAGGTTTTAGAGAGACCCAAGGCCATATATTACCATTTTCTCTCATACTAAACCTTCCTAAACTTATATTTCTCGCTAGATGTGAAATTCTACGTCTATTCTGAAAGATTTGAAGAAAAATTCTACAAGTATGAAGTTATATTTACCTTTTATTTTTCTTTTTCTTCTCTTTTTTAAAGATAGTTGATGATATCTTAGGAGAAACTTCGTTGTAAAGCTAAATCTTTGATGGATCTTGCTTTCAAACAAGTAATATTTGGTAGATTTAGTGTGAATCGTTGTTCTAAGGTAAAGGGAGCTTATTTTAACTATTAAACGATGTTTGGAATGATTTAGTATGTTATTACAAGAAGTTTTGAGATGATTTTGTTAGATCTCTTAGATAAAAGCTATTTTTATACTGTAACTGCTGTTAATTGATTTAAAAGCTGAGATTTAGCTGAAATATTATGAATTATTTTAGCTAAGTTGTTGAGAATATGATTTTGTCTATGTTACATCATGCTAAAATATATGTCTTGCATTGTTATAGAGCCAAGTTACATGTTTAGGTGAGTAGACGTGTAACGATAGAGTATGTTGAGCTGTGTTGTGCTGTCTGGATCTAGATACTGGAATGAGTCGCTCCCAGACTGGCTTGGTTCCTTCTAGATTATTTAGATTGTGAAACTAGTTGAAAGCATTTTCATGTTATGCATTAGATGGGCTAAGAATGCATGGGGCTGTTGCTGTGAGTAATATTTTGCTCTATATATAATTTTATTTTATTTTTATAAGCTTATCTTGCATTTTTGTCTATGTTGTTGTGTGCATGTGTACTGCGATGATCGTATGGTAGTACGTGAGCAGATGTAGCAAGTGTTGTATCTACTTCACAGGCTGAGGAGCCAGTGGAGAAGTGTTAAAAGGCTGAAGTTGAGTAATTTTGCATTAAGTTTTTTTCCTTGTATTTTGAGACCTCATATAAAGGGAGTTATGTAGTATAATTTTATGTAATTTGAGTATTATAAACTAAATGTAATATTATGTTATTCTGTTGAATATTTGTTATGAGGAACTTTGTTTCATTTTGAATAAGAAGTGAATTTTATACTTATATTCTCCACTATTTATCTATCTTAAATAAATAAGTGGTTTATTTACTATCTTAACTGCACTTACTTATTACTCTATGCATTGAATTGCAAGAATACTTGAAATGCAGTAACGTGAATTGAATGTAGTAAATTGACAATTGAATTGAAAATGACAATCAAAATTGAACACAAATTGAAACTAAGAATCACAAATACAAACTAGGATTGTTATTCCGAATTTGCCTAAATCTTGAATGCAAAAGAAATCAATTATTCAATTGGTTCATCTTGCACTCAAGAATAAAAAAAGAATTCAATCGAATTAGACATGCACAATTCTTGATCAAGAAATGTAAAAAAAATGAAAGGACAAACTCAGAGCAATCAGTCGGTCTTGCAATCCACTCTTGAGATGAGACAATTCGAGAATTCAACCATGTAATCATGAATCGTAGTGTGAGAAAAGAGAAATTGAAAGTCGCATAATCGATTTTGAAGTTGCAAAATTCGAAAAGGCAAGGAATTGGCAAAGAGAAGGTTATACTCTAGAAGTGCGAAAGTCTTACAAAAATGAAAAAATATGAAAATTCATCTCCAAAGTTAAACTTTTGACCCTTATTTATACTGGACTTAAATAAAGGGAAAAATAAATAAGTCAAGGCTGAACCGCAAATAATTACAATAAATATCCTAAATACAAAAGCTATGTTTTAAGCCTGAACTTCTAAAATTAATTAAAAATAGCTTCGGACTCCAAATAACA